AAGAGTTCACATGCTGCAACTAAAGATCCCGAGTGCCATGCAGAAACAAAGACCACAACTAAGACCCAGTGAAGCCAAATTAAGTAAATGTTGAAAAAAAAATCTGACTCCTTTACTTTGGGCCTAGTTGATGATGGTGAATATCTTGCCATGTCTGGTGTGATAATGGACTCAGGCAGCAGGGGAGACAGTTCACAAAACATGTTTCCATCTGCAGCTTGATTAGTCAACCCCATCAGAGACTAGACTCATTCTGTGAGGATTCACCTGAGTGACCCAGATGGTGGTAGCTTACGATGAATGATGTCGGAGTTGTAATCTCTGAAGAAGATTTAGCTTCAGGACCAGGGACCAGGCTTGATCACTCAAGAACTTTTGTGTAGCAGAGTTTTATTAAAATATAAAAAGGGACAGAGAAAGCTTCTGACATAGACATCAGAAGGGGGCGGAGAGTGCCCACACTCACCAGTCTTTGCATGGGAGCTATATACCTTATTATAGTAAAGGGTCTTACCAGAGGCATTCCCACAACATACATCTTGAGATAACAAGATTAGTCAGAAGGTTCTTGTTAAGGAGAAACTTGTCCTAGAGCAAGGTACATTGTTATATTGACTAAGACAAAACAATTCAGAAAAAAAGTTTGTCCTTTTCTCCTCCTTGAGAGCCTCAGACCCCTTTCTCCTCGAGGGCCCTGGATCCCTTCCTCCTCATGGGCCCTGGGCTCCTTATCAACCTACCTAAGGATGAACTTTCTCAATGGTTAGATAAGCATTTATGATTTATTTCCACAGTTTCCAGCTCCAAAGAGATACCTAACCAGTCTAGTTTTCAAGCAGCAGACCAAATAGGTTGGCAACAGCCCAAGAGGCAGTAAGACTACAGGAAGGTTGATCAAAGGGATTATTGGTCAGAGGTACGAAATGGCCTTGAGTTCTGCCCACCAAGAGGACTGACAACAGCCATTTTTGACTCTGCATCACTGGCAATGAGACTGAATGGCTGAATCAGCCAGGGAGAGAGTTGAATTTCAGCTTAGCTGAACCACAGTGAACCAGGGCCAGACATTTAGGGAAATCTCTGTGAACCGAGAGCCACATGAACCAGCAGTTCTCTGCCTCAGTTGGCAGAGTAGGGGGTGAAGTTTTCCCCAGAGGGATATCTGCCACTTTTTCATGTAAAGTAGAGATGTTGAGGCCAGGTCAGCCACACCCTAAATATACCATTTCCAAGTGAGGATTATTAAATCCTTCCCACTTTGTCAGAAATTGAGTCCAAGCTGTAGCATGTCTGACTCTGCAATCTCAGGGACAGTAGCCCGCCAGGCTGCTCTGACCATGGGATTCTTCAGGCAAGAATACTGGAGTGGGTTGCCATATCCTACTCCAGGAGATCCTGAGTCCAAGTTGACCTACACCCAAATGTGAATATTAAGTAAGAGTATCCGAAGGCCTCCATGTGTTAGGTGTTTAGTTTCAATAGGAGCCCAGTAGCAAGCTGATGTGGCTTTTCAAAAAAAAGAAAAGTGTACCCAGTAACCATGATAGGAAGGTGGCAGGTCCAAAACCCTAAGGGGTGCCACTGAACACAGGCTGCCTCCACCACCATCTCCACCAGCCTACTATCTCCATCTGACTCTGTGGGTGCCTCCTCAGCTTCCCCACATGGATCATCTGTCTGCAAAGGCAGATCACTGGTTCAGGTACCTTGGGAATACTCAGGTTTATCTAGGGACTTCCCTGGTGGTCCAGTGGCTAAGACTCTGTGCTCTCAATGCAGGGGTCTTGGATTCGATCCCTGATCTGGGAACTAGATCCCACATGCTACAACTATTAATAATAAAGATGATGAGTGCTGCAACTAAAAGACCTGGTACAGCCAAAACATAAATCAGTTCAGTTCAGTTCAGTCCAGTCGCTCAGTCATGTCCAACTCTTTGCAACCCCACAAACCACAGCATGCCAGGCCTCTCTGCCCATCACCAATTCCCAGAGTCCACCCAACCCCATGTCCATCGAATTGGTGATGCCATCCAACCATCTCATCCTCTGGTGTCCCCTTCTCCTCCTGTCCTCAATCTTTCCCAGCATCAGAGTCTTTTCAAATGAGTCAGCTCTTGCATCAGGTGGCCAAAATATTGGAGTTTCAGCTTCAACATCAGTCCTACCAATGAATATTCAGGACTGATTTCATTTAGGATGGACTGATTGGATCTCCTTGCAGTCCAACGGACTCTCAAGAGTCTTCTCCAGCACTACAGTTCAAAAGCATCAATTCTTTGGCGCTCAGCTTTCTTTATACTACAACTCTCACATCCATACATGACCACTGGAAAAACCATAGCCTTGACTAGACGGACCTTTGTTGACAAAGCAGTGTCTGATATTCCCATCTCTTTCAGAATTTTCCACAGTTTATTGTGATCCACACAGTCAAAGGCTTTGGCATAGTCAATAAAGCAGAAATGGATGTTTTTCTGGAACTCTTTTGCTTTTTCGATGATCCAGCGGATGCTGGCAATTTGATCTCTGGTTCCTCTGCCTTTTCTAAAACCAGTTTGAACATCTAGATTTTACGGTTCCTGTTAGACTCTTTAGTGACCCCATGGACTGTAGCCAGGCTCTTCCATTCATGAGATTTTCCAGGTAAGAATACTGGAGTCGGTTGCCATTTCCTTGTCTAGGGTATCTTCGAAACCCAGGGGTCAAACCCAGGTCTCCTGCATTGCAGGCAGATTCTTTACCATCTCAGCTACAGTGGTAAAGAACCCACCTGCCAGTTCAGGAGAGGCGGGTTTGATCCTTGGGTCAGGAAGATCCCCTGGAGAAAGGAATGGTAAACCATTTCAGTATTCTTGCCTGGAGAATTCCATGGACAGAGGAGCCTGGTCCATGGGGTCACAAAGAGTCGGAGACGACCGAGCTACTAACATATTCTTTACCACTGAGCTACCTGGGTAGCCCAATTGTGTGTTTTCATCAGAAATAATTCAATCCTTTTCCCCTCAAGAGTGAATTAAGACTGGGAATGAGATCCTAGCCTTGGGTGGAACCAGCAGCTACAATTGGTAGGAGGGACGGGCTAGTGGGGTGGGCGGTTCCTTTTTCTTTCAAGCTTCCTAGATTGTTTTGAACTTTTGACTTTGGCGGTCCCACAGGCAAAACCGTGCAGGGTACGCGGTGGGCCTGCGGAAACCGGCGAGGAGAGCGGGGCCGGGACGGGGCCCTGGCAGGGCCGGGGCGGGGTCGCGGGCGCCCGGTACAATTGCGCTGGGTTGGAACGGCTAGCCGCTGGCCCACCGGAAGTCCTACGTCCTGGAGCGCCGGTCCTCGGCAGCGGCGGGTGAGTAAGGGCAGCGGGGAGTTGAGCTCGCGGTGGTGGAGGCTAGTGAAAGGTTTGTTCCGCGGTCTTACGCCCCTGACCTCGGCAGGCGAGGGGAGCATCGCGCCCAGAGTCCTGGCGGAGTTTCCAAGCCCTGGGGGCCCCTGGGGAAACCTGGACTACTCAGGGTGGGTGCAGCGACCACTCACTCCCTGGGGATTCGGCCCAGAGCACGGGCTGCTAGCACGTGTTGAAAAAGTCGGGGTCCCAGCAACGAGGTTTCGGGGCAGACGGGCATCGGCCAGTGCAGTTCCCGTCAGCGGGACCCGTTCAGTGGGTATTGAGGAGCGGGCCACGCAATCGTGAGCGAAACTCTCTGTCCCTGCCCGCGGGAGCCTCCGAGGCTGGGGTCCGAGGCCCGGCGCGCAGTGGCTGGAGGTGAGCGCTGTGGGCCCGCGATTTGACCCGGCAGAGCTAGGACCGAGCAGAGACCCGAAGACCGGATGAGAAGGGCGAAGGCCCGAGGGTCGTTCTGCCTGGCCGGAGGGCAGAAAACTCCAGTGGCTGAAGCAGCGGCGAGGGCGGACCCCCGAAGCCTGGAGGGTGTGTTGGGGGTTTCAGTGGTTCTCAGAATCGCTACGGGAAACAATGGACGGGTTTGGGGTTAGAGATCCGGTGGACTCAGAGCACTGGAAAATGGCGACACATTCCCTCGAGGGGTTTACGTTCTTGGAAGGGCGGGGACGGGCCCTGAACTGATAAACAGGTCTGCGCCTAGAGTCATAAGTTATTCCAGCCGCTTTGCACTAGCCGGCCAACCGGTTTGAGCTCTGGGGCGAGTGGATGTAGAAAGTACTATCGAGGTCAACGTGCCAGGGGCAGGCGGCAGCGGCCAGAAATTAAGACTCCATAGTCATGCTCTCTCCCCAAACCAGACAACCAGCCTAGAATCTGGATCGAGCGCCCCTGGCCACCACCCCCAGCAAATGCTTTTGAGAAAGACTTAACAAGGGTGGGTCTTTCCTGAGGGAAAACAGGAGAGCCAGAACTTTTGAGGATACGATTATAGAGACTTTTGAAGTGTTACTTTTACTGTGTTCCACGGGCTAGTAGGAGAATAATCCAGACCTGCACCATCTCACCGCTTGATTGTGCTTGAAGCGAAGGGAGGGAGGGACCAACTTCACCTCTTAGGAAAAGCACCTTGCCTGTCAGCTTTCTTTTTAGCAATCCTATTAACTTCATCGTTGAACGCCCTTTGCCTTTCTGGCATTTTCAATTCTACCACCTTTCAAAAAAGTGAAAGGAAGAACGTCAACAGGTTTAAGTCTTCATTCTTTTCATTCCATTCATTCCATCTGGAGGGAGGCCTAGCGGGGTGAGTGGCAGTCCGCAGGAGGTGGGAGTTCCGCCATGTTTGGGCAGAGCAGGAACTTCCCCGGTTGGATTGCAGCTCCAGCGCTGGCCCCCTGGGAGCCCCGTGTAAGTGTTGGTTGTTGGGCCTGTTACCTTTCTTTCTTTCTTTTTTTTAACTGTTGTTAAACTAACTCTGCTGCGGGGCATGCAGGATCCCCATCAGGGATCAAGCCTGGACTTTTAACCACCAGACCAACAGGGAAAGTCCCTCCCTTATCATTCTTTACAAGGATCTGTATGTATTAAAAATTAACAAAATCATCTTAGATGGGATCTTAGAGAGTCTCCTTTAATCTTATTTTCCAGGAAAACCACATCAGAATGAAGACACTTGCTCAAGGCTGTTTGTGACAGAACCAGGGCTGGTTACCTGAGGCATATGCTTTCTTTCCAGAATACCATACTGCCACCTTAGAGGGGGCTTTGGGACAGAGGGAATCTTGTCCTCGGTGATAGAGTCCAGGCTTTGAACGCTAACTCTGCTGTGGACTGGGAGCATCCCTGAGCACATTACCTAGCCTCTCTGTACTTTAGATGACTTAAAATGGGGTTATTAATCATGACCTCATGAGGCAGTACTGAGAAGTTTTAGGTACAGACCAGGGGTTCAATAACTCTTGGTGTTTCCTGACCAAATTAGGAAGCTGTTATTCTTCATTCCCCCTCTTGCTGATAAGTTTTGTTTCTCTCTGACCTCAGGTTCCTGGAGGTGGGCAGCAACTAGAAGCGGGGTGAAGCAGAAGGCAGACGACACCTGCAGAGCTGGCATTACTGAAGAGTGACTGTTGAGCCAAGGGGGACCAGGTCCCTGCACTCTGTGGGGCTTGAAGGGAATCAAAGGTGTTCTCAGTTGTGAAAGAGGAGAGTTTGGATAGCAGAACAAAAAAGGAAGATAGCCCCCTGGAGCAGATACCTTTGACACAGGAGGCCAGTTCAAACCCTTTGCAAAGGCCTTTGCCAAGTCTCTCCATCTGCTCAGTCGCTGGAAGGTAGATAGCCCCAGGATGGAGCCTAGTCAGCCTTGCGGGCCAGGACAGGCATGGATAAAGCTAAAAACAGACAGCATGGAAGAGAAGGTGTCTGACCAGCCGAAGCCAGTGGAACCTGTACAGAAGCTGCTCCCTCAGGTGGATGAGGAGGACCTGCTGAAAGCCCAGAAGGGAGGGTGCTGGTGGAAGATGTGGGTGAAGGTGAGGAGACGAAGCCAGAGGGAGGGAGGGAGGGCCTGGGTCCTGGACTCCAGGAGCTCTTTCATCCATTATCCTGTCAGCAGACCAAATGGAATCTCAGAGTTCCAAGCTGAAAAGCATCCAGGAGAAGGGGCTTTGAGTCCTTTTTTCAGATTCCACACCAGCCTGGAATCCTTCAAGGACTACTTGCTGAAATTCATCAGAGTGGCAGCCTTTCATCCTTCCTACTTGTACATTCAGTACATACCCCTCCCTTCTCCCCCTGCATTGTTCTCCCTTCCTCTCCACCCTTCCTTTCCTGTTTGTACATTAAAGTTGCTGATTTTGTACTTGTCTTTTCCTATTTCTTCCCTCCTTCCATGGTTTTCCTTTTCTCTTAGTGTTCTGAATCTTTAGACTGGATGTCTGTCTGTCTGTATACAAACTCCCTGAATCTTTCCTGTTCTTCCAGAAGCCAGTCACCTTTGAGGATGTGGCAGTGACCTTTACCCAGGAAGAGTGGAAATGTCTAGATGCCAGTCAGAGGGTCCTCTACCAGGATGTTATATCAGAGACTGTCAGAAACCTGATGTCTGTGGGTAAGAGGCTGGGGTTCCTCACAAGCTCTCTGTCCCAGGCCTTTGGGACATCTGGTTTCCCTGGATAGGTAGATCAGCTCACAATTATCTTCACTGATCCTTGGTTTTGGTTCTTTATGTTCCAGGTGGGAAAGATCTGGGTTACTAGGCTCAGGGTGAAAGAAGGAATGAAAGCTTGCATGAAGGCAAAGATAACACTTGTAACATGATAACAATGTTTTCAAAGAATGCAAATCTGCCTATTCATCCAACCAGTATTTACTGAGCCACTTGTCTTCCCTGGTGGCTCAGCTGGTAAAGAATCTACCCTTAGTGCGGGAGACCTGGGTTCGATCCCTGGGTTGGGAAGATCCCCTGGAGAAGGGAAAGGCTACCCACTCCAGTATTTTGGCCTGGAGAATTCCATGGACTGTATAGTCCATGGGATCGCAGAGAATCACGACTGAGCGACTTTCACTCACTCACTCACTTGTCTTATGTACCCAGCACTTTGTTGGAATCTGGAATCTGGCCTTTTACATGTCTCCTCCTAGCACTTAAGTGTCCCAGATTATGGCTTTTAAACCACAGATATGCAAGAAGGGAGCCTGTTGTCCCCATGAGGTGTGAAGGGGCTGAGCCTGGGACCTCAGCTCTTCCTCTCCTTCCCATCCCCCAGACGGAATCTTTCTGTCTAATCTAGATCTGATCGCCAAGCTTGAGCAAGAAGAGAAACAGTGGGAAGCAGATCTCTGTTCCCCGAATGGAGAAGGCTTTCATTCAGGTGAGAATTGCAAAGGAGAGAGGAGGGTGAAAAGGGCCCAGGACATGCCTCAGGAGGATGGAAATGAAATGCCTGAGAGGAACAGGGCTCTGAATACCTGGTCCTAGCTTGCATGCTTCCTGCCTGGACATCATCTGCTCGAGTCCCCTGGCTTCAAGAAGATGAGTATCTGAGCCTTTTGGGATGAGTGAATAGCTTCAGTTTCCAGAGACAGAGAGATTCCATGTCAGTTACTTATGATAGCGATAGCCTCTTGATTAAAAAGTCCTTCCCAGGAGAAAAAGACAGGGATGGGAGATAAACTTGATGCTGAGTTGGACTAAGGATGACTTGTTCCTGAGAGTACAATAAGGACTTGAGAGAAATTTAAGTCTGAGCTGACCCCACTCCTGGTTTGCCGGGACAGTTCTGGTTTATGCTTCTCACCTTAGCTTGATTCTTAATAGCACCTCTGGTCACCCAAGTGTCCCAATCCTCATGATATATTATGAGGTCACCTGTGGGTATCTGGGGTGTCTGGGAGTGTGATCAATATTGAAAATGAGAGGAATTAGCACATATTGTAAATAAACTATACTTCAGTTATTGAAAAAAGAAAATGAAAAGAAATGGATTTCAAGAAATGTGGTTAAAATTTTGATCTCCAATATTGTTGGAAGATTCAAGTTAAATTTTTATTTGCTTTTAATTTGAAAACCCAAAAGTTTACTCTTATCTCTGGTCTCTGAGGTGTAAGAGTGAGGGTGAATGTCGGGTGGGAGAGGAAGCAGTGTGGACTGAGCAGAGAGCTGTGTCAGGGCTGTCATGATGAATCCCATCTTTTTTCTTGTTCCCTCCAGGAGGCAAGAAGGAAGGATGCCAAGAACAGAGTCAGAGTTTGGGAGATGAAGGGACTGTTGATGACAAGAAGGCCTCCCTTGATCACAGAGGCTCAGGCCCAACCTCTCCTCCAACTGGGTCCCCGGACAAGACGCCAGCGTTGCCAGAATCCTGGGCTCGGCCAGCCTTTACCTGTCACACCTGTGGCAAGTGCTTCAGCAAGCGCTCCAGCCTCTACAACCACCAGCTTGTTCACAACAGCACCCATTGTGGGAAGTCCTTCCAGAACCCCAAGGACCTCAGCTCCGGCCGGCGCAAGCAACTCAGGGAGAGGCCCTTCCGCTGCTCACTCTGTGGCAAGACCTACTGCGATGCTTCTGGACTGAGCCGTCACCGCCGTGTCCATCTGGGCTACCGGCCCCATGCGTGCCCCTTCTGTGGGAAGTGCTTCCGGGACCAGTCTGAGCTCAAACGCCACCAGAAGACGCACCAAGGCCAGAAGCTGGGGGCTGGAAACCAGAAGCATATTGTGAGGACTCCGGATACCAGAGCTGGATTACAGGGGCTGGCAACAGGGAACCATGCACCAGTGGCTGGGACCCAAGGACCCACACTTAAAACCAAGGGTCCCCAGACTCAGCCCCAGCCGTCAATAGACAGGAACCAGGCACCTGCCACCAAGAACCTGGTAACCACTGTGAGAGCTCAGGCCCCAGTTATTACGGCCCCGGAGCCTGTGACCAGAACCCCAGTCCCAGAGCCTGTGACCAGAACCCTGGCAGCCAACATGGGAGCCACCCAGCTGAATACCAAGTCCAACTCTCACCCAGAGAAGCCTTCAAGACGCAAGGTCTTCTCTTGCCCTCATTGTCCCTTGACTTTTAGCAAGAAAACCCGTCTCTCCAGTCATCAGAAGGTCCATTTCACAGAGCAGTCCAACCGCTGCTTCCACTGTGGCAAGTCCTTCACTTTATTCTCCGGGCTGATCCGGCACCAGCAGACTCATTGGAAGCAGAGGATCTACTGTTGCCCTATCTGCGACGTCTGCTTTGGGGAGAAAGAGGACCTTTTGGGTCACTGGGGGGGCTACAGAAGCAAGGGGCTGTTCCTGGGCAGTCCCCACAAGTGCTGGGCCATCCTGGGTCAGTGGCTCGGCTTCTTTCCTAATGCCTCTGCTGTGGCAGGGAAGGAAATGGATCTTTCTCCTGGATCTAGACCCTCAGGAAAGGGGAGGAAGGGAGAGGAAAAGGCATGCAGAAGAAAGAAAGCAGAGAAGGCAGTGAAGGTCTTGGAAGGGAAATGAATGGCCTGTCCGCCCGAGGTCTTTCTCTGGTTTTCCAGAGGAATGACCTCCAGGGTAAGGAGACTGGGATAGAGGAAGAGAGGTGAGGGGATAGTGGAGGACATACAGAAAGGAAAGGGGACAAGAAGTGGCACTTGGAAACTTGTATTGTTATTAATTAGCACCTAGCTTGTTTCTTTGTGTCTGATAGACCATCAAGTAGTAATTGTTCAAAAAGACAGTGGATCTCCAATAGGTATGAAGATGGGAGGGAAAGGATGAGAGAAGGGGAAATCTGAGGGGCCCATCTGGAGGGGTGTGAAAGTAGAAGGGAGGTGTTTGAAAGCAGGCGTGTTGCTCCCTTCTCATCCCTTGCTCCCCTGGCTCCTCGCTGAGCCGCCCAGACAAGATGGAGCTCTGGCCAGCACTCTATGGGTTTCTCCCCAGGTCCTTACTCCGCAGGTCACTTGGCTCTCTCTTGGATATTGTGGACTTTTCCTGCACCTTCTCTTCAACCCTTCACACCCCTCAGCTCTGCCTACGAGGGCTGAGATCTTGGAAGAAATGACCACCATTTGCAAAGCTGATGTGTTGTAATTTGCAACGAGGAGGTTCCTGGTCTCCATTTCATGGCAGAGACCCTCTTGTCTTCGTTACTCTGCAGCACAGGTGTCCTCTGACAGAAGAACACCTGCCTGGCTATAGCCCGAGAAGACTTCCAGGTAGAAGACAAACCAAGGAGCAGAACGATGTGGGCAGCAAAAAGGGGGAGAGGAAGGAAGGAGCTGGGGAAAGGGACAGACAAGATAATGACAGAAGAGAAGTCGATCCTGTTTGGAATTCAGAGCATTCCTGAAGTGCAGATTGCAATGTCCCCGCAGCGAAGAGGGAGGCCAGTGAATGTGCAACTCAATGGATGTGACATCCCAAGGACTGATCCTTGGACCAGCCAGGCTCTTCTGCATCTCAGCCAAGATGCGGTGTCCTTCAGAAGGGGTTTCCTAGAAGGAGGAGAAAATAACTTGAAAAAGCTGTCAACATTTTCTGTAATGAAACTGTTAAACCAGAGAGAAGACAGACCCCGAGGAGTCACCCAGCATCAGAGGTGAGGCCCGGAGCAGCTGCTGGAGGGCATGAATGAACGAATGGGAAAGGAGGCAGTAGGAGTGGGATTCCTGATAGTGGGGCTCATAGCTGGGGCAGATCAGGCAGCAGATTAGAGTGCCTTCAGCTCCCATTGCCCAGGAGACATCCCTCCACCCAGGCTTGCCAGTCCCGTCCTTTCCTCTTGGATTTTGATCCCTCAGTAGCCCACTCTTCCCCTTGCTGCTGCTTTCTCTCTATTTTGCTCTCAGCTTATAAGAAAGTGAAAAAAACTTACTTAGCTCTTCAAGAAATTGCCCTGAAAACAAAGAGAAATAGGTGATGAGCAGAAGATGACTGGCTCCTCCCACATCTTCCCTGTGGACTTTGTAATCATGCCCTTCCCCCCTTCCACTAAGACAGCCCTCAGATCTCAATAAGTGGTTCACTTCTTGGATTCTCTGAGGAGCCTGGGGTTGGCCATGGGGACAGAGCAGGAAGGACATTCCGGCTCTGAATCTTGAACCCTGCTCCCATCCACCCTCTTTATGTTTCCCGTTCAGGGCTGGCTTGGTCCCTCTGGCTCAGCGGTCCTGTCTGCGGCCCCAACACTGCACCTGCTAGTCTGCGGTGTAGCCAGTTATAGCAGATGATCAAGGCCACTAGGGGTCCGAGAACCGGCACGATGACAAATAGGGTTATCTTCCAGCAGGGCACCATCAGGAAGTGGGGATCTGAATTATTTGCCACAAAACAAACAGGATTAACATGTCCCCCCCCCCTTGTGTCCCACCCACCCCCTCCATTTATTATTGCCTTTCTTTGGGATTGGGGGTTCTTAACCTGGGTCCCAAAATAGTTTGGATAGAATCCAGGGAGTTCATGAATTTGCATGAGAAAAGCACTACATTTTTATTTTCACTAACTTCAAACTGAATTTAGCTTTTTCTTCCTGAAAAAGGACTGTAGGTAACAAATCAGTTATCAGTGGTACCTGTGGCTTTATCACCAATGGAAACAGCATTCCCATCAAAGTTGTTTCTGAAGTCTCAAAATACTGTTTATCAATATTTTGAAATACCAGATTGTTAGACTTGCCAGTACATTTTATTATTTAATCTATAGTTTTGTTATTTAAAGAAACATTGGTTACTTTAATCACAAATTTGTTTATATTGCAATAACTTTCAAAACAATGGTATTCTTTGTAATCATATGGGTTGTATTTTATGTGTACATTTCAAAACATTCTGGGAAGGGAGAGGTTCATGAGGCTTCACCAGACTATTGAAGAGTATAGAGTTAAGACCTTTGTTATTTGAATTCTGTAAAACAAAGATCTTGGTCCTCCCCTTTGAGTTGGAAACTGTGTGTTTTTTTCTACACACTGATTAAATGCCAGGGTGGAGTCAGGGACACCTCCAGCCTTCAGAAGCAAAGGCTGTTGGGGAAGGCTGCTCAGGGCAGGGACCATATTAAAATTTCTGCAACATCCACTCAACAAGTATTTGGGTGCCCTTCTGTTGTAGGCATTGTCCTTAGGCACTAGATGATCTGCAGTGAACAAAAAGGACAGAAACCATGGCCTTGGGCCAACCTTTTTTTTTTTTTCCCTGCTGTGGCATGCAGGATCTTAGTTCCCCCACCAGGGATCAAACCCGTATCCCCCTACAGTGGAAGTGCAGAGTCTTCTGCAGTGGACTGCCAGGGAAGTCCAGGCCAACATTCTGGGGGGTGTGTCTTCACTTGCCCCACTAAGTCTTCCCCGAGGAGTCAGTTACTTATTCTGCACTCATGAAAACTCATTTTTCCTCGTGATTTGTCAATGATGTATATGTACTTTCGTTCGCCAGTTAATTTATGTGTATGTATCACTTCCCCAACTAGACATCAAATTGATGTGCAAAGGCTCTGTTTACCTCTCCTTTCTAATTCCTGAAAAAATAAATCATGTACGTAAAGTATTTGTAATTCCTAGAGTGAGTTAACTTTGGGAAGCTGTTAGTTATAGTACCACACATGAAAGTGTGTGCTTGTGAGCTCAGTCATGTCCAACTCTTTCCGACCCATGGACTGTAGCCTGCCTGGTCCCTCTCTGCCTGTGGGGTTTTCCAGGCAAGAATACTGAAGTGAGTTGTTATTTCCTCCTCTAGCGATCTTCCCGACCCAAGGATCGAACCCACATCTCCTGCATTGCTGGCAAGATTCTTTATCACTGAGCCACCTGGGAAGCTCTAAGTGTTATTAATTAATAATGCTATTATCTAACCAATCTTAGATGCAGACAGTGACATTCAAAGAAAGAACAAGAGAGGGAGAAAACCAACCAGGAGCCGGGGGTCGTTTTGTCCCCAGGTGACAGGAGTCTTGTGAAACACCAAGCTGACCTGGGGGGCTGGGTATCCCAGAACTTACCAAAAGTCCGGTGGAGATTCTCTGAAAGAAGAGAAAATGCAAATGAACTTAGTAGTGCGCTTGCAATGATCCTTTCTCCTTTGAGCCTTTGTTATTTAATCACTTTCAATTGTTTGTAGTTGTAAGTGGTGCTGATGATGGAGGAAGGGAAGCTGTAGGATTTTACTTCTGCTCTCCCTGAAGGCAGGGAAGAGGAATGAAACTGTACGACTGGCTTTAGGAGTTTTAAATAGTGAAGTTCCTGCTCCAAGGAGCACAGGGTGTCGGGGCAGAGGCAGAGATGGTCAGAGAAAATGACTATTTCAGTTATGAGGAAGGTCTGGGGAGGGAAGGTACCTGGAACTCACCTATCTCTGCCCAGAGTTTTCCTAAAATAGAAAAAGGCAACATTATTAATTCTACCGGAGGCAGTAGATGGGGCCCTCCACACCCACTGCCCTGGGCCTTTGTGCAGGCTCTTTTCTCAGCAGCCTAGGAGCATCCTTAGCGTGAGAACCAGATTTGAATCCCGGACTTCAGGCTCATTCTTTGGCTATTGCCTGGGTTAAAGAAAGTGGAGAACCTTGGCAGACAGCAATGTCCACCAACACCCCAAACCAACCGTTACCTCCCCCACTGCTCTCTGCTCCTTTTCCTGCTGGTTCTGGGGTCACAGGGCACTCCACCTGCTGGGCTGTCAATTTGTTAATCTAAAGCTACTTCCCATCTGGAGGAGGAAAGAAGGAACTAAACATTTAGTTGAGCAACTGCTTTTTGACCGGCTCTGTATTAGGCTCTTTACATAACACTGTCCCCTACCTTCTAGGCGGGAGGGTGTTATCTGCCTGACGCAGACAAGGCAGCTGAGACTTGGAGGAGGGTTCTGGTCTTTGAGCAGGACCCAAACCCAGGCTGCCCAATTCCACTAGTCAGGTCCTTTCTCCTCAGCCATGTGAGTGAAGAGGTTACTGAGTATCTGGGACGAGGACACGGGGAGAGAAGACCCCACCAATATCACCCCTTATACTCCAAACCCTCCTTGCTGCTTTAGCCTCTTAGGAAGGGGAAGGGGAAGGGGAAGGAGGCCCTATAGGCTTTGGCTTTGAGAACTCTTGGTGGAGGGGAGAAGTCTTGACATGAACGCTCTTGGGCACAAGAGGCAGCTTCAGACAGCTGGACCCCAGTCCTCGGTGTTGTATGGAGAAGGAGTCCCTACTACGTGCTAGGGACTTACAGTATCTTTGCTTAAACCTAATAACACAGACCTGCCCGATTCTGAAGTTCATGCTCTCCCAGAAGGATGAGCTGCTGTGTATGGTACAGGGGCCAGAAAATAGGGGTTTCAGTTTGAGCTCTGCCACTTAGAAGCTGTACCAGCTTGAGTAAATCTCTGAACCACTCCAGGCCTTAGCTGCCTCCTCTGTAAAATGGGGTTATTACATATCAGCCCTACCTCTTAGCGAAACTACAGGTCCTGTTACCTAAGTGATATAAAACTTATCATTATGGAGTTCTGAACCCAGGAGTCCCTCAAAAATAGATGGCAGCTGACCAAGCTCCAAGAGGCCAGGCACTTCAGGGACGGTCCCCCGCCAGCTGCCCTCCAGCCTGTACCTCGGAGCCTGCGCTGCAGGCACAGGAAGACAAGGCCCACGGTGATCTGCAGGAGGAGCACTGGCAGGACCGCGATGAGCACCAGCACGCCGGGGTTGATCCAGTAGAAGGGATCTGAAAGGCAGAACCGGGAGGCCCAGTGCTCATCCTCAGCACCCAGCACAGCGCCCAAAGGTGACTCAGGACTGACACCTGAGCTTAGGCTTAAAGGAAAAGTGGTTGTTTCCAGGCAGGGCCGGTAGTTTAGAATGACAGGAGTCTATATATTGGGCAAGTCTTGGAGAGTTTTGAGAACCACAGAAGGGACTTAGATCTGACCCTCAAGGTCACGGGGGTACTCTGAAGGATTCCATGATGAGGAGTGATAAGATCTGACACAGTCACTGACTGCAGGATGGGGGGCGGGGGTGGGAGGGGCAGTCAATTAAGAGGCTATGAAAATAGTGAAAGTAAAAATCATGAGCCTGAACTAGGACAGTGTAGGAAATCGAGGTGAACTTAAACAGGAAAAAAAAAGTCTCTTTAGTAACTTTTAAACTGAAATGTAGTGTTTCTTTCAATTATGTTTGTAGGTAACACTCTGAAACAATATGAACAGAACCTGAGACTTTGTCATCCCTAAAACGCACAACTATTTTCATATCACCATCACTGTTGGTGCAGAAATCTCAAAATATCACCTATGTTCACCGTTTTGAAATGACACTCTGATCAGGGCCACCCCATATCTTTATTTAAAGGTAACCTGGAACAACATGATTTTGATAACTATTTCAGTACAGGTATATTATTTGTTTCAAATATCCTTCTGAGAAGGGGTCCGTTGACTTTACCAGTCCGACAAAAGAGTGCATGACACAAAGAAAAGTTCAGAACCTCTGTTCTGGAGATTTTGAGATAGTGGAATCCATGGATTTGGTAGATGTGGACTGGAAAGGATAAAGAGAGAGGGGGTAAACTTTGCCTTTCTGGCGCCATCTAATGCCCATTTTAGAGTCTGCCCTTCAGCGCCTCAAAGCTCTCCCCGTGTAGTCTCAGCTTGCAGAAACTGCTCTTTTCATTTTGTTCTCTGCTTTAGGGGGCTAAGGGCTTGCCTTGTGGCTCAGTTGGTAAAGAATCCGCCTGCAATGCGGGCGACCTAGGTTCGATCCTGGGTTGAGAAAATCCCCTGGAGAAGGGAAACGCTACCCACTCCAGTATTCTGGCCTGGAGAACTCCATGGACTGTATAGTCCATTGGGTCGCAAAGAGTCCGACACGACTGAGCGACTTTCACTTACTCACTTAGGGGGCTAAATAAAGATACTGACATCAGGGTAGGCATTAAGTCACAGCAAAAAACCTCAAACTGGTTTTTGAGAAGGAGTCAAACGGACCCCTACCTATTTTACCTATTTTTCTTAGGTAAAAATACCACCCTTCAAGCTGCAGTTTCAGGTTCTTGTCTGTTACTGTGTCCCCCAGGAGAAAACACAGTCAACTCTGCTTTCAGAGTTCTTATCGGAAGTAACCTGGAGCAACATTATTTAGCAATTACATACTTTAGTTCCTTTCTTTGTACACCTTTTATATTTTAACAAAGGGTTAGAATCACAAAATGAGAGAAAAGCAAACATTGTGAGACCTCTGATGTAAAGAGATAAGTGGAATATATAGCATCACCTATGAAATATGCCTGACAAAACAAATCAGACCTGAATCTGATGGTGCATATTCTATTCTATGAGTTCACAGGAAACAAAGGATATGGAACACCATGTTGAATAACATGGGAATGATATCATGGAAAACTCTACAGGGTGAATACTTACTGGTGGATCATGTTTGGATTGGATTCAAGCAAACCAACTGTAAAAATGTATTTATAAAATAATCAGAAAAGTGTGAACACACACTCGGTATTAATAAGAATTTCTGTTAAAGTTTAGAGATGTCACGGTAATACTTTGGCTATGATTTTGTTTTGTTTGATGAGTTTTTCTATTTGAGACATACATTCTTGAGGATTTAGCATGACATGATCATGTTGTCTCGGATTTGCCTGAGTAATTCAGCTGGGGAGTAAGTTGATGAATGGGGTCGAGTGAAACAGGTTGTCAGTCCTTGGGTCATAACTGCTGCAGTCAGGTGATGGGAACTGGGAGGCTCATTATAATAATCTCTCTACTTCTGGAAGTTTTTTACAGTTTCATAATGAAGAGTTTAAGAAAGGTTTAGAGACAACTAGTAATAAAATCATAAAAGTGACAAGGAAAATATAAAGCTGGAAAGTGAGATTAGAAACTCTTTAGAGAAAAAGGGAAGGTAATTACACCTGAGTATCCCATGGACAGAGGAGCCTGACAGGCTACAGTCCATGGGATCACAAGAGTTGGACATGACTTAGCGCCTAAACCACCAATTACACCTGAAATTTGGCAATCACATACTTACCGCATTTCAGTCCTAAATTTGTCTTGGCTTCCTGGAGCCACAGGCTAGGAGTGGTCCCTTATAAAATACTCTTTTTTTTTTTTTTAAAGACTCTTAAGCATGCAGATGAGACAGGAGGAAGTGGGTTGTATTATGGAAATCTACCCAAAGGAAAACTTTCTGCCCGGGGAGGTTTTTTTTTTGTTTTTTTTTTTTTGAGGGAGTGGGGATGGGAAATGTACTGGGGGAGGCAGTTTTTGAGCAAGGAGGAAGTTATTGAACAGGAATGAGGAAAATCAGCCACCTGGAGAGGTCCTTACTCTTAGACTCCCTTGCAGGTAAAAATCCCCCAGTGAGAACAGCTGTATGAAGAACATTCTGTGCTACACAAAGCTATTTTCACATGCCTGAAATCCCTCTGTAGAAACAGTGCTTTGTTATCCCACATACAATGCCATCTTCTGGTCCCAGCACTGCGACAGTGGCCCTTGAGACACAAAAGTGATCAATTGTCTGATGTTTGTGCTGCAGGTGGGGAGGAGGGAAGGAAAATGACCTGAGGCTCTGGCCTCAGAATATTTTTGATCCTCAATTATATAGCAATTAACTTTCAAATCTCCCCCTCCTTGTACACATCTTAACTCCTCAGGGATAGATAAAACAAAACAAAATTTCAAAGTCATCCATCACACAAAACATACTGCAATGAAATTCTGGAGAAAGGAAGCAATGGGGGTAAAATCTATAGGTAACGTGTCTTTCTATGAATTTATTCAGACATTCGTTCTGCTTGTTTAATTCACTTGCTGCTATATTTATCAGGAATATATTCTTCAAAAGTGTACCTCATCTACTAAAATACCACAAACACATCAACCGAGGAATTCATTGTAGTAGGATTTGATCAATTTGACCCCTTAGGAATAGGGCTCTTGTTTATAACAAATATACAGAAAGACAATACAAAGCAAAAGAAGGGAAAAAGTCCACTTGGATACTTCAATTAACTTTTAGATAATTCATATTCCCCTCGAGTAGCACAAAATAACCACAAATTGATTATTCTGGATCTTGCTGCCTGCATTTATCATTTTTTTAATATTTAAAATTAAAAAATTTCCCTAAGGATATCCACAAATACATTATATATACATTATGTATACATTTGCTTTGTATATATATGTATATATACACAAATGCATTATATATACATTTTTATATAAATGGATAAGTATGATGATATGGATAAAGTCACAGTCCTTTTTCTTTTTCAGTTGGATCACACCCTATCCTCCTTTCTTTCCCCCAAAGTGAACCATATTAACTTTCTTATGGATGTCTTTTTATATGTTTCTCTGATATAAAACATAAGGTTTTGTTCTGTTCCCTATATTCTGTAGCTTTCTTTTGTTATCCAACAATACCTCGTGAAATGCCTCCAGGCTGTCTGGTATGGCCCTAAAGCAATTTTTTACGTGGCTCCATGATTTTCACTATATGGACAACAGTGTTTACTCAGTCACTCATTACTCTTGGGTATGGACTCTGATTCTGGCTTCTTTCTCATGCAGAATATGATGTAGCAGACATCATGGGCATAGGAATTCCTATGTACTGATGTGTGTTCTCTATGGAGTTAATTCCCAGGAGTGAGCTGTTTGGGTTATAGGATTTCATCTCAACTGAGAGAATGATCAGAGGCTGAAAGGAAGGTTTTGGCCATCGAACAGACAATACCTACTGGCAGATGCACTACTCACCTTCCACTTTCAATTCCATCGCTGCCTCCTCTTGGTAAGAGTGATCTCGGAAGAAGCAGGTAAAACCTCCTTCATCTGAGAACCTCACATTCCGGATCCTGAGGGTCACCTTCCCCTCCCCAATAGTCTCTTTCAGCAGCTGCGTGCGGCCCCGGTATTCAGGTGCCTGCTCTTCGTCTTGGTCCTTGCCATTTCGGTAGAGATGAACCACCCTGGAGAAGGGGGGCCGATACCATCCCACCTCCATGCCTGTAGCGTTCTTTCCTGGAGATATGCGACAGGGCAATTCCACTTCATCCCCCACCAGCGCCCGGATGGGGTGCCCTGGTCCTATTACTCTGAACTGTCCTGTCCAAGACACCAAAGAAAAGAAACTGAGTGTCAGAGGGACAAACAAGTCCTTCGTGGGCAGGAAGGGCTGCTTCAAACAGGGAAAGAAGAAGGAGCTTGATTTTTAAACAGAATTCTAGAGCCAGGGAAAAACTCAGTTTTTCTTAAAGGTCTCTGGTTGGAGAGACACCGCGAGTTCCCTGCATAGACCATTCTAGCCAGTGGCCATCCCAGCCCATAGGAATGTGGCCAAACATTGCACAGTTTAATGGTCCCGTGGGTCTTCCTATTCAGACTTGGCCAGATTGATCCTTACTCTCCTCTTAGCGGTTTTGCTTTGGTCACTTCACTGCTACCACCTCTCTATCACTTCTCAGCTCTCTGTCCTTGTTCATACCCTGGGCCCAAATTCTTCTCTGAGATCATCCTAGAGGTGGCTCTATTTTCTTCTTCATTTCCTCTGTTTCTTCAACCCTCTCTATAGCTCCTGGACCCTGCCCAGACATGCTCCCTGTCTGTTTTCATCTGTGGGATATATCTCCTCGTCAGACTGGCAGCCACTGGGAGATGAGGCTGCTTTCTCCATTAGACCTGCAAAGATTTCCTGAAGGCATGCATAGGCCCCCTCTGTTAGGTGGCTCCTTAAGGTTGGGAATGTGTCTTCTGAGGGCAGGGCTCCTCTGTAAAAACTTATTAGTGTCTGATCGTGCGGAACAGAACTCTCAAATGTGACAAGACACTTCAACAAACATTTATCGAGGTTTACCATGGGACAAGTGTGACTAAGCATTTTATATGTTTCATCTCATTGAACCCTGACAGCAACTCCAAAAGGTTGTTATGATATTCCCTGTTTGATAGGTGAGAAATCAAAGCTGGAGAGATAGGTAAGAACCAAGTTCAGGGAGAGCCCTGAGTTAAGGTCGCATGATGGAGTTGGGGTCCCTTCTGAAGGCTGTAGGTTGGCACTGAAGGCCTCTGAGGGGAACCATGTCAGCACATCTATGTTTCAGAAAGATCACTTGCAGGCAACTTGAGGATGTGTTGAAGGAGGTGAGCCCGGGGAACTAGCCTTTCTGTTCTCAGAGTCTCCCCAGGGCAGGAATAAAGAGAAATCTTACCTGCAGAGCTGGAAGTCAACTGGAGGAGGAGGAAGAGGAGGGAGGGGAGACCGCTGGGCAGAGCGGAGCTCAATAAACTGGCCATCTCCACTGTCGGTGGGGACAGAGAGCCCCTGCAGCAGGGTCAGGCCAAGGAGAGGCCCTTGGGGTGCAGGTCCCACCCCTGAAAAAGTCCTCGGGGAGGATCGGGGCGGGCAGAGCTGCCCTGGCCCTGCCTCCTCCCCAGCAGAACCACAGCTGTGCTCCCAGGCACAGCCCCACGTCATCCCTGCCAGGACTCACACAAAAGGACCACAGAGCCAGGGGATGACCAGGGTTTGCCTTCCCCACCCCCTCAGAGCTGGAGCAGAGGCTGCCTGGTACTGGGCCTTCCTCCCCCACTCCCTCCCAGGGGAGCGGCCAGCCTTCCAGGGGGCTTCTAGGATCTGACCTGTTGGGATGAATCACTCACTGGACCTCAGGCTGAAGCTTGTCCAAGTGATCTGCAAGGTCTCTTCAACCCCTCGCCTCCAGGTGCTAGCCAAGGGAGAGAGATCTGTGTTGGATTTTTAAAAAAATGAAGAAACATTTAGACTTAGTTTCCTATTTCTACCATCTACTGTCATCACCAGGCCATTCATTCCTCTTGATGTCTGACCTCCCTCTCTCTCACCACAAATCCAAATGCCCTTCCTTATGTTCTAATGTGTTGCTTGGGTTTAGTTAGCTTCTCCCTCCCAAAGAATATTAATACAGTTTGGAAAGTCACAAGTCGAGTGTCACGAGTTGATGGCCACCTGTGCTTGGAGAGGCAGGCATGAAGAAAGTATTATAAGATCTGCAAAGTCAGTGACTGTCAATCATCACAGGCATTGAGGACAGACCAGCAACTAGGATGCATCCTCCAGCCGGCGCATCACTCTCCAGTTTCCTCTGTGTCACAAAGAAAGTGAGATCTGGGATGGAACCTGCATGGAACAGACCACGGTGTCGCAAAGAGTTGGACACTGAGCAACCAAATAAACAAATAAGAATCCATTTTCCTTGCATTGGATGCTCAGAGCCCCAACCACCTGATGGCTAAGGTAGTCCCTGCGAGCTGTTATTTGAAGTCACTCTACCTCTGAAGAGTTCACTTCCCTTGCCTCCATGCCCTCAACTGCCTCACATCTTTGAAAAGGGGGTGGGTTTCTGGAGCTGGGGTGACCAGTCCCTTGGATGACATGGTCTCTGGACAAGGGGAGAGAATGGGGAAACAAAGCCGGTGGTGTTGCCATTTATAGAAATCACTATAGGAACCTCTGGGTTTGCTGAGCATGGGGTTGTGTCTAACAACAACCCTGTGCTGTTGGTCAGGCTGGTCTTGACAGTCAGCAGTTAATTGTTACTTTAATTTTGTGTGGCATATGTTATATGCTCTTACAAATATTCTTCAGTTGTCTCTTGCTCTCCTCAGTAGTTTCCATTTGATCCACACCTCTCACCAGGTCTGATAACAGTCTGTGTACACAGTCATGTATGCAGAGTGACATGTTATAAATATGTTAATGTATATGTTAATCAACACACTATCCGTATGTGAAATAGTAAGCACTCAATAAATGGGAGCTTACCTAGATGTTCCTTAATATCAGTACTGCGTAAGATTTTTTTGAGAATGTGTAAAATAAAGATCATGCACTGTTTGCTTCTTATGTTTACTAAATAATGCATGAAGTGAAGTGAAGTCGTTCAGTTGTGTCCCCCTCTTTGCGAACCCATGGACTGTAGCCCACCAGGCTTCTCTGTCCATGGGATTCTCCAGGCAAGAATACTGGAGTGGCTTGCCAGTTCCTTCTCCATAATAATGCATAATCCCACATTAATACATAATATAGCCCTCTTGAAGTTTTGCAAATAGATTCTTATTTGTTTATTTGGTTGTTCAGTGTCGACTCTTGGCAACCCCATGGTCTGTCCATGAAATTCTCCAGGCAAGAATGCTGGAGTGGGTTGCCATGCCCTTCTCCAGAGGATTTTCCCAACCCAGGGATTGAGCCCATGTCTCCTGTATTTCAGGCAGATTCTTTACCATCTGAGCTACCAGCTACTAGGTTACATATAAATGTATTCCATTAAATTAATAAATATTTATTAGAAATCATGTGTGTCAATCCTTATATTAGGCTCTGATTGTGAAAGTTTCAGCAGGACAAAGAAAAAGTTTTTTTTTTTTTTTTTATTCTTTGGCCCATACCATGAGGCTTGTGGGATCTTAGTTTCCTGATCATGGTTGAACCCGGACCTCCTTCAGTGGAAGCCTGGAGTCCATGCCACTGGAAAGCCAGGGAATTTCCAAGAAGATTCTAGCTTTCTCTATGGTTTCACTCTTGATATGACACAGTGGCTTTGTTTTCATTTTTGCTATTTAATATTGCATTTCTTCAGGCATCAGGGTGAATGCAGGCCTTCCCATGTGCTTGGGGTCCTGTCCTCCGCTGGGCATAACACATGTGTTTGCCTGACTCCACGTCTCTCCTGTGCCCAGGCTCCTGCTAGGGGGCACTGAGGGTGGCAGTGGTTCCTGGGGGGAGTTGAAGACATCTGAAAACCAGTCCTGGGGAGATTAAGAAGCGAGATCAAGCTTGAATCTAGGCCCCAAACCCTCAGCACACATTCTATTACCCCACTGGACTTCACTTACAAAACACAAATTGAAAGAAAAGTGTTAAGAATTTCAAGACAGCGACACAGAGGGCAATTGCAGGGGGTCTGGTTTGGTCCCTCTCAGGGAACTAGATCATGCACGCTGCAACTAAAACCCAGAGCAGCAGAAAAAAAAAAAATAATAATAATAATAGTGATACAGAGCATTAAAGCCCGAACACAGTGTTCCCTCCTAATCATGGGGTCCCGTGCAGCTGCGCTGGTTGATTGCTCACGGAGTTCACTGCCTTCTATACAGGTGCAGTTGTTAGCTCAAAGAGCATGTGCACTTGCAGTTTTAATAAATTGCCCTGCACAAAGCTGTATACTCTGTACCTGTGAACACACTATAGCTCAGCTTCCTCCTCTGCAAGTAGAGGAGAATGACATCTGTCCCATTAGGACTGTGAACAGAATTACAGGAAGGAACCCACGGGAACTGTGAATGGTACACAGTAAACACTCTCTAAGTGCCCTTACTTGCTCTCACTTGCCGTGATTTTTTTCTCCTGGAGCTCCCCCTAGTGGTACAAATATCAGGAGGAAATTGATATTTTCCGCTTTTGTGGCCTTATTTTCACCAGTATGCTGCTGCTGCTGCTAAGTCGTTTCAGTCGTATTCGACTCAGTGCGACCCCATAGATGGCAGCCAACCAGGCTCCTTCCTCCCTGGGATTCTCCAGGCAAGAATACTGGAGTGGGTTGCCATGTCCTTCTCCACCCATGTGCTTAAACTGGTTTGCAAGTTCCTAGGAGATTCAATAACTGATAGACTGTAAAACGTCTAATTTCTATCCATTTAGCCCAATGTTTCATGGGTCTACAGAAGAAATGAGAACACTGATCTGAGTCAAGCTGATGCAGGCATCCAGCAAGTGAGTCCTTGTAGCAAAAACTTTATGTTTTATCTATCAATATTTCTTCTATGCTTGTGTCTTCTTTGTTATTATTCTGAATTTCACCACCAATATTTTCATTTTTCAAAAAGAAAAACATTCAACTTGTTATGAATCAGGTGAGTCAAGCATTTAGGCTTGCTCCCCACCCTGCCTCCCACCCCATAAATGGGAATGAATTTGTGTTGATTTTGAGCGAAATGTAATGAGTTGTCCTATGGAAGAGGCGTTAAGCTGTTCTGAGGCTCCTCTTGGAGTAAAACAGGTGCAAGTCAGAGCTAGAGTTCAGTTCAATACAAAGGAGAATCTTCTCTCCATCAAACTGAGGGAGAGAGCTGGCATCCCATTCCTGGACGTCCAGCCAACTTAGAATGGCAGGTTAGGCTAGGTAACTCTAAGATGTTTTTCGTAGCTGTACGACCTTACGAGAATATACATTTTCTTCTTTCTTCCCCTCTCCTCACTTCTTTCCTACCTCCCTGATGCCTTCACTTTTCGCCAACGCCCACTAAAGTTGTTGCACTAAAGACCCAGGAGGCGCTCCCAGTCTGCCTCGCAACAGGTGACGTATACGGCTTTTGCGCCAAGAACTGGTTGCCAGGAGCCCTTGGGGGGGCGGGGAATAAGGCGCCCTCGGACCGAACAGTGACATTCAGTTCCAACGGGCAAAGCTTTTCTTGCTTTTTCAGTTTAGACCCACCTCCCTTGGTTACCTAACTTCCTCCTCTGTCTCCTTCCTCTGCTTTTGTCCAGCCTGGATTAAGGAGCCCTTAAATGTTGCTGGGCCAATAGCTCAGGAGAGGGAAGATCCAGCTGGCCATTCTGGCACCTGGCCCAGTCCCTGAGAGCACCCACCTGCGAATGGCCCTTCTGTCACTACACGGTTGCTCCTACGGAGGAAAACGCGGTGGCCATTTTGGAGCTGAGAGACTGTCTTTTTGTCCATCATCTTAGAGTCTGGCAATGACAGTTTTTTTTCTTTTTTTCACCTACCAGAGAAAACTATACGGAGAGAGAATTCTGTTCGGAATTCTTACAACTTTTTCAGAACTCCCAATATCCCTATTCCAGGATATGACAGACTCTCTNCCCCCATATATATGCCTAGATGCTCAAGTGCAAATTCCAGCTCCATGCAGCTGATTGATAAACATGCCAGACTCCAGTTTACTACCCCATGGGAGAATCTGTTACCTTGGACAGAAAAAGAAACCTCAGCTTCTTTAACTGTTTTGGGGTTGATATGAGGATTGAATGAGACAAGGTATGTAAGGTACTTAGGTCTGTGTCTGACTCTCAAAGGCCATAATAACACCTTTTGTTCAGGGCCTGCCTGGGCATAGAAAGTCCAGCCATGAGAGCAGGACTCTATCTTGTTTTCCCTGCATCCTCCTAGGCTAGAAGAATGAGGGATACATAATAGAATATGGTTGTGTAAAGAATAAATGAAAAACTGGAATTTTCACCTTCAGATCGCCAGCATTTGTAGTCTCCTCTCTTTCAGGCTGTAGGTTCTGCCTTCAGGCACCTTCTTGCACTGTAATCCTTTTAGATCAATATTTACACTTTTACTTGGTCTATGATCATACCAACTTGTTAACTCAGAGGTTAGTATTTTTGACTTTTGATCTTGAATCCTGGATTAAGGGTTTTGTGTGATGAGGAACTTCGGATGTCTGCTTGCCTAAGGAGGGAACTATTTTGAGGGGTAGGGATGACCCATGATAAATGGCTTTGGTTGCTTTTCAGGGGCCAAATGTGGCTTACCTGGAGCCAGGATCTCCTCGCCCTTCCCCCTCACCTGTGCCATCCCTTAATATTATCCCCGGGACTTCCCTGGTGGTCTAGTAGTTAAGAATCCACCTTCCAACACAGGGGATGAGGATTTGATCTCTGGTTGGAGAAGTAAGATGCCACATGCCGTGGGGCAACTAGAGCCCAAGCTCAATAACAAGAGAAGCCCACTTACTACAGTGAAGACCCAGTGCAGTCTGTATATTTATGTTATTCCCAACCTCCACTTCCACAGCTTCCAAGACTTTCACAGGCATAGGACCCAAGTCTTTCTCTTTATGTCATCTTCCCTCCTGCTCTAGGAAAGGAAGACATTTTTTCCCACCAGTGGCAATCCATCTCTGTGTTTATCCCAGGGGACATTGATGCTGTGAACCCACAGCACCCGGCTGCTCAAGCATCCTTCAAGTGCTAGATGAGAAGACTGATGTCTAGATTTGTTAATCAACCATGTTGATTCAAACATATTCTTTCTTGTTGAATGAACGTTATGACAGGCATTTTGACTAATCAGAACAATTTGGTTCTCATTTGCCCTTGTCAGCAGCATTCTGAGTGGTTGGTGTTGCAAAGTCATGAGATATACTTTTATCTCAGAAAAAAACATTATGGAAACAGAAAAATATTATATTTATATGTTTGACTGTAGGTGTTTTTTTAAATCCTTTAGCCACGGACTTTATTGTTTGAATAATTGCAACTATTATTCTATACGTAAATTGTAATTTCTTACAAAACTCTATATTCCATATTGCTAGGTCACTTCATTCCCATTTTATATCAGATTTCCATCAAGAAGTAGTTTCCTAAATCACAATCTGCCTGATTGTGTGTTGTTGTTGTTCAGTTGCTAAACGTGTCCAGCTCTTTGTGATGCCATGGACTGTAGCCTGTTAATCTTCTGTACATGAGATTTCCCAGGCAAGAATGCTGGAGTGCGTTGCTATTTCCTTCTCCATGACTGTAGGATTTTTTAATATGCTTCTTGAAACCATTCTTTCAAGTTACTGACTAACTAACAACCACAGAAGTTCAATCAACTCAGTTGGTCTGTTGATGCTATTCCCTCAAAGAAGGACAAAGATTTTGAAAGGAGACAGTAAACTATTAACGAGGATTGGGGCCTTAAAATTAGTGACAGTGGAGTTGAATGTGGAGACGTGTGTCTCTATGGGTGGGGTGGGATAGACATTTGGCATAGTAGTTTTGTGTTGGTTATGGCTATGCTTCCAGTGTGGTCTTGAAACATTACAGCTATTTCTATTTCCCCAGCACAGCTTTCTGCTTAACTGGGGTTAATCAGGGCTACATGCTATTGCATTCCAATCAAGGTGAGGAAACGAGACATTTCCTTTTTATTTCATACACTGTTTGATATAGTTTCACAGTGAACATATGGCCTTTATAATAATGATTCAAAAAAAAAACCAACTTACCAAACAAACAAACCTGGAAAGGCTCCTTAGTTGGAAAAAATAGTTTCTGGAGGAACTTAAGCTTGCTTTGTAACCAGGGCCCTCTAGTGATTAAATTAAGTTATCACTCTGAGATTGGACACATATCAAACATGGAGGGATGCTGGGTGAGGTTCAGCCAGGGTCTGTCCCTGTGATAGTGCTTAGTGGAAGACATATTGTACCATAGTTGGTTGACAAAGTTGCACAGTTTATACTCACTGAAATATTAATGCATCAATGAACTCACATTTAAGAGCTTGGTGGTGTGTAACATACCAGTATTGAATGCAAATTGTGGAGGAAATAACTAATTTTCGTTCTTGCGAAGTTTTAACCTCCTCAAAATGTTTTCTATGATTGTATTAATATTTGTTCCTCACAATAATATGTAGCATAGGAAGATTAAATAAAAGCTTTATTCCTTTTTGTAGGTGATGAAATTGAGACCAGAGATGCTGTGAGGGGCCCTAGGTCGCCAGATGATTATTGTCAGGGTAAGACCTAGAACTCTGAATTCTAGGTTATAAGACTGGCATTCTTTTCCAGATGTTTCTGCTCCAGTTAGGGGTGGAGATATGCAGGCTTTGTTTTATATTTAGATATTTTATTAAGTTCAATTATATATTGAAACTAATGGTTCACTAAGTTTTCACTACCATTTCTGTAGCTTTTAATTCCCTTTCTATACGTTTTTATTATTTTCCTCAAATTGAACTCTGTTTGGAGACATGACTTTTAGCAACAGCATAAAATTTGTATATAATTAATTTTTTCATATTAATCAAACCTATTTTAAATTATAACTTCCTCTAGTCTTCTAGTCATTGCTATGAGTGTATGGGTTTGAATAATTCTACCCCAGAGTAAGGAACCTTGATATTTTAATTAGTTCTCATATCCAATATATATTATCTGTTTTTATTTTTTAAATTAAAAAAAAAAGCACAGAGCCTGAAGTATGGATTTATTTTGCCATCTTTCTAGATTCCAGTTTTAAAATCACTTTTGCAGATCATAAGGACTATGAAGGCTGACACCATATCTCTCAGGTGTGTGAAGCCCCAGAGTGCCTGGCATTGTGCTTTGCTCCACAAATATCTGTTGAATAAATGAAAAAAAAAAAAAAAAAACCAAAAAAACCAACCTACAGCCAATGCGGTTTCCTTCACACAGCTGTAATACTTTCAATAATAGTTATGGAACAATAATATTTTCTTATGAGGCTCTTAACCATAATGCCAGTGATATAGATAAAAACATTCTAAATCCTTTATTTTTCTGAGCAGACTTCTTGGTGATATCCTCTTTTTCAGGCAAGAGTCCCCTTTTGTCTGTGTTCTGTGCTCAGTCTCTCAGTTATGTCTGACTCTTTGCGACCCCATGGACTATAGTCTGCCAGGCTCCTCTGTGCATGGGATTTTCCAGGCAAGAATACTGGAGTGGGTTGCTGTTTCCTTCTCCAGGGGATTTGTCCTGACCCAGGAATCAAACCAATGTCTCTTGCAGCTCCTGCATTGGCAGGCGGATTCTTTACCACTGAGCCACCTGGGAGGTCCTCCCTTTGCCAGTAGTTTGGTAATATTTGGCAACCGCGCCCCCCAAATTCATACACGATTTACCCATTTCTACTCTTATGGAGTGATCCTGCCAATAAATCCTCACATGTGAGAATAATGCATGTACAGAATTATTCAATGCAGCTTTGTTTGTAATTGCAAAATATTATAAACTTCTTAGGGTCTATTAAAAGAGAGCTGATTGAATATATTTTCAGCCATTGAATGATGATTGTATGGAGACAGCCATCCAACAGAATGTTATTCAGCTATGATAAAGCAAGAGGAAGACCTTTGTGTATTATTATAGAACAATCTCTCCAAACACAATCACCATTGTGTCAGAAAAGGGGAAATATATTTGTTTAAATAGCCATAATCTATCTCTGAAAGAATACAAAAGAAATCAATTCTGTCCATCATGAGGGCATGATAGAACTTCTTTTCTATACCCATTGTGAGGTGTTTGAGCTGAGACTAGGCCAGGAGACTAGGATGGGGACTCTTTTGGCCTCTGTGGGCTAGGAACTTTCACATCCAAGACTACCTCACTTGATCACCAGGAGACATATATTATTACCTCATTTTGAGAATGAAGCAAGGCACAGAGGGCTAAGCAATTACTTGTTTATCTTGGAGCTGTGGCGTCTGGGTACTTCCTGGGGAGTCAAGGACCAGGTGCAGTAGCAGCATGCAGAGATGGAAAAGAACTAAGAATCTGAATGAAGGACTCTGAGAGGAGGCCAGTGCCCTCTCAGGGTTCTGTGAAGGGAAAGGAAGCAGCTTCTCTTCGCTTGCTGCTTCAGACATCCTGGGGCTTCCCAGATGGCTATTGGTGGAAGATGGTGAGAAGGTATTCTTTCTGGGATGGGGAATCAGAAGGACTCCATGTTTCTGTTTCTAAATTAACCACAAACATTCAATGAATTGTTGCTGTTTTGTTAAGTTGCTAAGCCATGTCAGACTCTTTGTGACCCCATGGACTAGCACAACAGGCTTTCCTGTCCTTCACTGTCTCCCAGAGCTTGCTCAAAGTCATGTCCGTTGAGTTGGTGATGCTGTCCAACCATCTTATCCTTTTTGCCCCTTTCTCCTCCTGCCTTCAATCTTTCCCCAAATCAAGGTTTTTTCCAGTGAGTCAGCTCTTCACATCAGGTGGCCAAAGTATTGGAGCTTCAACTTCAGCATCAGTTCTTCCAATGACTATTCAGGGTTGATTTCCTTTAGGATCGACTGGTTGATCTCCTTGCAGTCCAAGGGACTCTCAAGAGTCTTCTCCAACACCACAATTCGAGAGCATTAATTCTTCAGCACTCAGCCTTTTTGGACCAACTCTCATATCCATACAGGACTACTGGAAAAACCAGAGCTTTGTGCAATACAGACCTTTGTCAGCAAAGTGATATCTCTGCTTTTTAATATGATGTTTAGGTTTGTCATAGCTTTTCTTCCAAGGAGTAAGGGTCTTTTAATTTTGTGGCTGCAGTCAATGTCCCCAGTGATTTTGGAGTCCAAGAAGAAAATCTGCCTCTGTTTCCATTTCCCCCAATCTATGAGTGCCTTCTACATTTGTTACTTTACAGGCAAACATTCATTTTCTTGGTCTTCCTGTCTCTTTGAGGCCTGAATCATCCTATAGTAACACTTTACATACTTACACTGTGTCAGAGTTTTCAATCGTATAGAGTGCTTCCTGTTGTTTGAACCTCATAATTATTTAGCAAAGCAAATGAATGAGGGTAGAATTTTTCTTCCATTTATAGTTAGAAACTAGGGATCAGTGATGTCAAGTCATTTGCTCATATCATGTGCTGTTTGCTAGGGTGCTATTGCTGGCCGATCTGATTCTTTGATTCCAGGTTGGTTTTTCTTTTTCCACTTCAAATTCTTTTCTCTTTTACTTATGTTTTGCTGCCTTTCCCTCATCTAAAATAATTCCCTAAATTATATTGCCTGTGAAGCTGTCTCATAACTAAAAAGTACAGACGTGACATATCTTATATTTCAAGTCTTACTTCTTTCTCCTCCAAGCAAGGAAGCATAACACTTGACTCTCTTTTTATTCTCCTCCACCAAAAAAATACATGTAAAAAAAGATGATGTATAAATAAACAAAATACATAAGTGCACCTCACAATATGGAATAAAAATGTTCTTGTAAACTATGTTCATGTAAATTGAACAATTCATATTTTATTAGATAAATCTGAAGTCTAAATTTATTCTATCCTAGATACTTTTGCAATAAATCAGTTCTATTTCTAACATATTTTTTTGAGCTCACCTGAAGAAAGATATATCTGCTGCCCTGTCTCCCCACAAATAAAAGTAAACCAACTTCCTGGGAAAAAAAAAAAAAACAAACCAAAACCAACAACAACCACATGCAACCTAAGGCTGCAGTAACTCCCAGATAGACTTTGGAGATTGCATGACCCCTCAGTGCCCACAGGAGGAAATTATTCAGGAGTTAAAATCAAGAAATGGTCGGGGACTTCCTGGGTGGTTCAGTGGTTAAGACACCACCCTTCCAATGCAGACAGTGCAAGTTCAATCCCTGGTGGGGTAACTAAGATCTCACGTGCCAAGTGGGTGGTCAAAAAAAGAAAAAAAGGTTGTAGATGCTCAGCCCATCCTAGTTGTGCTTCTCTTTTGAGCCATTTCATCCTCCTTCCCAACCAGTACATCCACATTCCTCCCTCCACATTACTCTCCTGTTTAGCTTGTGCTCTTTCCTCATAGGCCCCTAGAGTAGCAGCTATGTCATTACCCCCAGTCCCCTCAGTAACATGTTGGTAAGAGGGTAGGAAATTCAGGGATACTTGCTATTTAAAAATTTCCCCACAATGGCTTCAGTTGGTTTGGGTTTAGGGAGGGAGACTTCAAAGGGTGACTGTTCTCAGATTTAGGACAGTGAGCACAAGAGGAGGATGAAACAAGACACCCTGTCTTGCCTGCCAGCTGCTTGACAGCAACCAGGGGCAACAGGGTCACCAGTCCTTTTCCCAAGGTCCACTGGGTCTCCATCTTCTTTTTATTTGTCCCCTTCCCCTGTCCTACTTGTAATTAAAGAGACAGAATAGAAATGTGCTCCAGATACAGAGAGAAGATCTCTACCTTTGTCCCTATTTCACAGCAGCATCCTAGAATAAAACCAAGAAGACTGATCTTTGGAAGGGCACCTTCCTTTAAGAGCAGCAGAAAGGGCAGGAGAACCAGCTTTCCAGTAGCATCTTACTGTACTAGCATAGTACATGGACACCATGAGTGCTGCCATGTGGGTGAAAATTTATACATGCACCAGAAACTATACCTAAAATGCCATTAGAGGAAATTTGAGGGTGATAGGAAATGAGCAGAGATCCTGCCAGGTTAAATACTGGTGAGCAAGCTTCAGTTTACTAATCCAACTAGGATGGGCTATGCAGCTAAAGGAAGGGTATGGGCATCCCAGCACAATGAACCGCATAACAACAGCATCTGCAAATAAGGCAACTAAAGAGAGATATCACTACAAGTTGTTTAGTTGCTGAGTTGTGTGCATGGACTGTCCCATGGACAGTCCTCTGTCCCAGGCAAGAATACTGGAGTGGGTTGCCATTTCCTTCTCCAGGGGATCTTCCTGACCCAGGGATCGAACCTTTGTTGACTGCATCGGCAGGTAGATTCTTTACTGCTGAGCCATCTAGGAAACCCATAGCTAAAAGGGAACATCTTAGAAAATACTGGAGAAGTCTTCCTGAAGAGGAACCTTGCCTGTGTTCCTGCCAATCCCCTTGCTCTATCTATGCTTGGGTGAATCTACTCCTAACAGAAATCTTACTCATGTTATGTTGCCCCAGTGGTTCCATCCACAACAGCATGGCTGATACACAGAGGACTCCCAGGGAGTCAGACCCCCGGGTGCTTTCAAAATACTTCCCACAGCTGGTCATCAGGCTGAGCAGGGTCTTTGGAGTCAGATAAACAGATGTTCTGATCTCAGCTTATTATGTGTGAGACACTGGGCAGATGTATTAAATTCATTTGCTTCTCATTTTTCTAGCTTATGAAAACAGAAATGATATCTATACCAGAGAATGTTATAAGGAGCAAGTGAGACAGTCTAAGTAAATCATACAGCCCTAAACTGTTAATAATACAATAAATGCTATTATTATGATCCTGTAACTATAGGATGGAAAGACCTACATGTGTGGAGGGTGTGTCACCATGAGCTATGGAGGTAGCTCAGCTGGTAAAGGATCGCCTTCAATGCAGGAGACGCTGGTTTGACTTCTGGGTCGGAGGATCCCCTGAAGAAGGGATAGGCTATGTACTCAGTGTTCTTGGGCTGCCCTGGTGACTCAGCCGATAAAGAATCCGCCTGCAGTGCAGCAGACCTCGGTTCGATCCCTGGATTGGGAAAATCCCCTGGAGGAGGGCATGGCAACCACTCCAGTTTTCTTGCCTGGAGAACCCCCATGGACAGAGGAGCCTGACAGGCTACAGCGCAAGGAGTCACAAAAAGTCAGACATGACTGAACGACTAAGCACACAAAAAATGCAATCAGGCCAGCTTGGTTGGAGCATGGTGAGTGAGAGAAGGAAGGACTTAAGGCCTGGGTTTGTCACCCAGTTCTGCTATTTATTGGCTGTGTGACCTTGGGGAGTTCATTTAAACTTTCTGAGCAGCAGTTTTCTCATCTGACAATGGAGATATTACCACACTGAAACAGTTGAAAGGATTAAGAGAGATAATGTGAGTTCTTTGTAAATGATACACCAATAAGGTATTATGTTTCCATGCTACTCTAAGTGTAATAAATACTGAAAGCATCTGAAGGTGTGGATGAGTCATGTTGGTTTTTAGAATTTCAGAATGATGTCTTGAAAAATAGGGAAGAGTTAAAACTCAGCAGGTGTTTGTTTACTCTAGGTTGCTAAAAGCAGAGCTTGCTTCACAAGCAAGCTCACAGTTGTTCGAGGCTTGCTTTCTGCTAGGATTTGAGTGGTATGATATGATTCTCTGGACCAGGGCAGGACCCATCTGCCCCACTGTAATAGGATCATGGTTTCCATATAGGGCCTTTATGGAAATCCTCAATGGTGTTTTTATGGTGTAGTCATGGTAGTGGTAGTTTAGTCATTAAGTCATGTCTGACTCTTGTGACATCATGGACTGTAGCCTGCCAAGCTACTCTGTCCATGGGAGTTCCCAGGCAAGAATCCTGGAGTGGGTTGCCATTTCCTTCTCCAGGGGATCTTCCCAACCCAGGGATCAAACTCAGGTTTTCTGCATTGCAGGCAGATTCTTTATGGACTGATCCACCAGGGAAGCCCGGTTTCTATGGTATTTCCATAAGCAGAATTTCTAGTCTGTATGTATACACACACACACAGACACACACACACAGACACACACACACACATAACTGAATCACCAGAAACTAATACATTGTAAATCAACTATAATTCAATAAAAATTAAAAAATAATAAAAAATTAGTTTTAGTCTGTTACCTCAGATATGTTCATTTGATTCCTAAAAACATATATTTCTAGTTCAGATGACTTCTAAGGAAACTATTACAGCCAGATGGAGTGCACATATTTAAAATACATTACGTATTGTTATGTAGCCACTCATTGCTTTCCACAAAATAAAACTCTTTTAAAAACTACCTGAACTGTGACAGGGTTCTGCCTGGCACAGTGTCTGATGCTCAATAAATATCTAATAAATGAAAAAAAACAAAAACCAACCAAACAAAAAAACCCATATATTTATAAATATTTTCTCATACTTATATAATGGGTTCCACACAACCTTTTCTGTAATTCCAAAATCCACAATGCTCTGAAAACCAAAATTTTGTTCCTAAACTCGTTTGGTGGCAAAACCTGGCTTGACTTGCTTCCATTTTGTGGCAAAGCCAGAGGTAAAGCTATTTATGGTCTTTACTCGACCTAGTATTAAGAGTCATGCATTTTACTGCAGAAACATAATTGTGCTTATTATGGGCTTGAGACCTGGATATACATATCAAATAATGGAGTTTTCAACATTCTGTGGTTTCTAATAGAAAAATATGGGTGATGTCTTTTTACTCTGAATATTATTTGGTTAGTGTCCTAGAGTGCTCCAGTACTTTGGCCAGCTGATGGGAAGAGCTGACTCATTTGAAAAGACCCTGCTGGGAAAGATTGAGGGCAGGAGGAGAAGGGGATGACAGAGAATGAGATGGTTGGATGGCATCACCGACTGAATGGACATGACTTTGGGTAAACTCCGGGAGTTGGTGGTGGACAGGGAGGCCTGGCGTGCTGTGGTTCATGGGGTCACAAAGAGTTGGACACAACTGAGCAACTGAACTGAACTGAACTGAGTGTCCTAGAGTGCTTAGCACTAGTGAGAATCATGATAGATATGTGAATTGGACATTTCAGAAGAGAGAAATCTGTTACAAGAAAATGAACAAATAGAATCTCTACCAACCAATTTCATACATGCATTCTGATGCATGTGTATTTTGAAATGGTATGATTAACTATGCACAGTTATGCATACCTGGTGTATATACTTAATTATATATATTTAATTAAACATGATACTTCCTTGTCTTAAAATCCTTAAAAATTCAATCATCTCATAGTTCTAGGAGTAGAAATACTTACTATATTTGTTTGTGAGAACAGAATATTTTCTAGATCTGCTAACCTGATCTCATATACCTTTTATAAGAGAGACAAACTTACCACTGCCTTTGTTATTGCTTAGGTTGACCTAGTATTTCATTACATTGTGTTCATTCATTATTATAGAAGGGCTTATTTATGGAAATTATTTGCAGAGGTAATTCACCGTGTCACCCTTATAATCTGGTTACTACTGGCCCAGAGCTCCTGAGAGACAGTGGTCCCCAAGACCTCAGAGCATCTTGTGGGTATGGGAGGTAAGTACTGGGCCAGACATTTACAATATGGTTTTTTAATTTCATTGAAGTTTTGTGAATTCCTGATTGGATTCCCCTGTATATGCCTGAGTGAAGCCCAGCATGCAAATAACTCGTGTTTGAATTTTTAATCTTTGTCCTATACATTTTTCTAAACAGCAAGATCTGTGCAGGACAGAAAACCCAGCCTGAAGGTGATGTAAGAGGGTACAAACACCCTCCCTTCACACACTGCTGCTGCTTCAAATGGGAAGACAGAACTGAAATGCAGTGTGATCTTTGATGAAGAATGCCTTGGGGTGAGAATTGAATGAGAGATGTGCCTTGAAACTAAGTCTGGATGCACTGGAAAGTCTTTGGAAATGAATTCAAATATTGACTCTGCTGATTTTGTAGTGCAGTATCCTCTGATTTGCTTCTTAACTTCCCTAAATCACAGTTTACTTGGCTCCAAAATTAAAGCTTCCCTTGTGGCTCAGCTGGTAAAGAATCTGCCTGCAATGTGGGAGACCTGGGTTCAATCTCTGGGTTGGGAGGATCCCCTGGAGAAAGGAAAGGCTACCCACTCCAGTATTCTGGCCTGGAGAACTTCATGGACTGTATAGTCCATGGGGTCGCAAAGAGTTAGACACGACTGAGAGACTTTCACTTTCACCTTTCACAAAATTAAAACGTCGCCATCTACTTTGCATGGTTGTGTGAAAATTATATTAGATGCCCCATGAAAGCATCTAGCAAATTATCAATTATCTGAGCTACTTTGGTTAATATGTTTTAGGGCTTACGAAGTGTTACGTAACCCTCTCAGGGTTGGACAGAACATGAGGCAGATGAGAGGAAAGAAACTGGAAGTATGGGAAATAAAATGAACATGGAAATTGGTCAGGTAATTGGTCATGGAAATTCTCAGTTAATCTGAGTGGGAACTCCACTGTCTCTATAAAAAAATAGTCCAAAACTGAGAAAAGAGGTGGTGTTACCAAAGGCATAAAGAATACAGGAGCTATGGAAGGATAGAATCAGGTCCAAGGACTTTTCTGGAGGAGAGGAGTTCTGAGCTGGATGTGGAAGAAGGAAGTGGATTGACTGTGGGGAGGAGGGGTTAGGATACTCAGCTGTGACTGGGGAATATGGGCCAGGAAGCTAGGAAGCCATATTGGAGAGTACAAAGGTGTGAAAGGAGGAGCTGCAGCTACTGGTGGAAAAAGGTGAGTGGTTTGTATAATGAATATAATTGGAGCCTCTCTCCACACCCTCAGATGCCTCTGCCCATTGAATAACAGATATTAGCTAGACTGCTTCAATGTGCTTTTGAAGGTTAAAAAAAAAAAAACACAACAATTAAAAACAAGTATGATAAAGGTAATATTTGTAAAACATTTGAAAAAAAAATTGAAACAATATGACCAAAAAAAGTATCTAATAATCTATGGCCCCAGAGGTAATCATAGCTAATATGTTGATGTATTTTCTTCCAGCTTTTAAACACATGTATACCACAATTGCACACATTTTTGTATTCTGCTTCCCCCCCCAAATTTGCTTATTTTCCCATGTAAATATCATTAAACACCCTTAAACATGTTTTTATAACTATTCCTTTGAATGGACAACATTCTAATTTATTGAATCAACATTCTGTGATTTGGACATTAAGTTAAAGTTATTTCCTTTCTGGGCTAGCATCAGCAGTGTGATGATAAATATCACTAAGATAATTTTCAATTCCATGGAATCTTAGACTCCTCTTTTCTGGGGGGTGGGGGATTCCATCCTTCCGCCCTCCTCAGTTCAGTGTAGCAAAGGACTCAAGACTTCAGGGAAACAGAGACAAGTTTCCAGAGTGAGATATTAGGGAATTCCCTGGTGCTCTCATTGTCTAGTTCCTGGGTTTGATCCCTGGTCAGGGAAATATGATCCCACAAGCTGTGCATTTGTCAAAAAAGAAAAGAAAGACTAGATGAGGACCTTGTGGGCTCCTGGGAGAGTTCCTACTGAGACACTCCCCTACAGGAAGGCCCTGCTGGGAGCAGGGGAGGTGTCCTATGGGCTCTCAACCTTGCCAGGACCAAGAAAGAGCATGGAGACCAGACAGCTGACCTAGTCCATAGACAGGGCAGAGTCAGGAAACTCTTCTTTCAAAGCAGTCTAGGAAAATTCTCATCCATATGATTTTTTTTTTTTTTTGGCTGCTTTCAATAACTTGACACCCACATTTTTTATTCTGCCTTGCTGAAAAAACAGCACATCTTTAGAGGAGGGGTCGCTATCATTTTGAGAGGTTAGAAATCCTGCCCCTCTCTTTTCTTCTCTTCTGCCCTTTTTGTAGCTCAGGGGATCTCAACCACTCCTTAAAGGACAGTTTGAAAAGTTGTGGGCTTTCTTTTTGTAAGCGATGGAGGGGGCTACCCAGGGTCCTAATGGGTACAGCAGGGGAATAAGACATCCTTCAAAGCATAGCCTGCACAGTGAAAAGCTGTCCTTCCTCCAGATTCTCAAGTATCCCCTAGGACCTTCATTTAGGTGATAACGTGTGTTTAATTATCTGAGCCTAGAATTTAATACAGTTAAAAAAGTGGCTTTAATATACAATGAACTTTCTAGGAATGCAATTACAGTTCTGTGTGAATTCAGGGAAGATTGACTTTGCTACCAAGAGTTGTTCAACATTTTGTTAAGTCACTTCATTGATGGCAACACGCTGGAGGTAGTTGAGTCACCGACTCAGCACCTGTATCAACCGGCATTTGTAGCAGTTCCAGCCCTGTGATTCTATGGATAAGTGCTAGCATCTGCCTACTTCGTCATGACTTCAACACTCACACGTTAAAATACTGTTTATGTTCTTTTACTACAAATTACTTTTTTCCCCCTTTCTTATGCTACAGTTAGGGAAGCATTTTTTTTTTAAGTTCTGTGTGTAGGTAGGTTATTTCCTTTATGAGTTTCAATTCAGCACAGTAAAGGACTCATGACAAGATGTTTGAAGGGTTGAAGGTTGAGAATTTCAGTTTAATCAGTCTGATAGTATTTAGCTTTTCCCCACCCCTTCCCAGGGCAAGCCAGAAAGAAATCCCCCCCTTCCCCCCGCCCCACAAAAGAGCCTTCTGTCTCCCCGGGCAGCCCAAACTTATCCCCATGAACCATACACACACGTGTGCCTGCACACATGCACATTTCTTCCTCCACTAGACAATAGCTTGGAGCCTCCGGAACTGTCAAAAGGCCTGCACTTGCCCCGCTGTCTCTAGAGAGCCCAGTTCTTCCTTAGTCAAGAAATATTGATTGCTAGGCCCTGCTGGAGCGGAGATAATGCTGGCTTCTGCCCACTTGGAGGTTCTTTATTCTCTGGTCTTTTTTCTGTCTCTCCCCACCCCCTCCACTTTAATTTCTCTCCTTGATGCTACCCTCCAGTCTTTTGCTTCCAGTCCTCCCTCCGCGTTCCCTCCCCAGGCAGGCGAGTAGCCTCGCTGCTGGACCCACGGAGCCGCTCTGGGTTCCACCTCCGTCTTTCCATCCAACAACTCCTGTCGCGCTGAGGTGGCTCCCGGCCTTCACCCCCTCCCCTCCCCGCCCCTCCGCTGTCTGACCCTGGCTTCTCCTTTCCCTCCCACCCGTCTCGTCCTCCTCCTGGTCCTCGGCTTCAGCCTCTCCCGTCTCACCCCGACCAGGGCTGCTTCTCTTTGTGCAGCCGTCTTTCTCCACCTGCATCCCAGGCTCCCTGTCTCAGCGCTAGCTCCTCGGCCTTTGGCTTGGGCCCCCTCCCCAGCTCCCAGTGGTCTGGTCCGCGGGTCCCCGCGCGCGTGTGTGCGGGTGCACCGGCGCCCCTCTCCCTTACCTCGGAGCCCCGCTCCCCCGCCGCCCGCCCCCCGGCGCGGTGGGCGGTCCAGGGCGGGGCTGGGATCCGGGGCGGCTCCCGGGGTTTGGGTTGTGGGCGGTGCCCTCTCCCCGGTCTCCCCCTCTTCCCCCCGCCCTGTCTCCTCCTGCACCCTCCTTCTTCCCTCCGCCCGGGAGCTTTCCCGGTCCCCGGCGCCGCCTCCTTCCCTCCCGGCTCCCCGCTCCCGCGGCCGCCGCCGCCCCAGGGAAGGAGAGACGGGGGTGGGGTTTGGGGGAGGTGAGACCGGAGGGAGAGACCCTGGCCGGGCTGGAGAGCGGATTCGCGGGGAGGAGGGTCGGGAGGAGGGAAAGGTGGAGCAAGGGAGGAGGGGGGAGCCGGGAGGAGCGGCCGGGCCTGGGGCCTTGAGGCCCGGGAGAGCCGGGGAGCCGGGCCGGCGCGCCGAGGTAAGAGCCAGGGCCCTGGGGAGGCCGGGCTTGGAGAGGGGAGCGCGGGGAAGGAACGAGCCGGGGGCCGGGGGGCCGGAGGAGAGGAGGAGCGGCGGGGAAGGGAACCGGGAGCCGCGGGGCGGCCGATCGGGGAGCGCGGGGCAGCCGGGCTCGGGCGAGCCGCCGGGGCCCGGGGAGAGGAGGTGGTGAGAGGTGGAGTCCCGGGAGGGTGGGGGGGGCCGAGGGAGGCAGGAGGAGGGTGGGGACAGGCTCTCTCTCCTCCTCTCCCCCCACCCCGCGCCGGGCTCCGCCCCCGCCTCCTCCGCGGGGCGCTCTCCCGGTCCCCGGGCTGAGCCGGGTCGGAGCCCGCGAGGCGACCGGAGGGAGGCCAGGCCACCTCCCGGGTCCGATCCTCACGGCCGCCTCTCACTCAGATGCTGCTGTTGCTGCTGCTGGCGCCGCTCTTTCTCCGCCCCCCGGGCGCGGGCGGGGCGCAGACCCCCAACGCCACCTCTGAAGGTGCACCCTTCTCCGGCGACCTCGGGCACCCCGCCACCCCACTCCCCCTTTCCTTGCATCCCCTCTACTCTCCCCTACACGGCATCGGGGCCTGGCAACCCCGTCTGCTCAGCCCCACTTTACTACTCCTGACCTCCTTTCCCTCACCCTTCATTATTAGCCAGCACCCCCTTCCTCTGCCCCTTATTACTACACTAGGCCACCTTTTGTGACCCGCATTGTTTCCTGCACCCCCAACCCTCTTTCCTGGGCCCACATTGCTACCTCAGTTCCGCTTTTTCCTTGGTCCCACATTGCTGCCCAGGTGGCCTTGGAAGACACCCTTCTCCTCTCATCCTCATTCAACCAGATTCTCCTTTAGCCTTTTCTTACCAAACTCATTTGCATACCATACCCTTTCTTGATTTCTTACTTTTCTCCATTACCCCAACCAGCATCCTTCCCTTTCCACTTGTGGGCTCCCCGATTAGCCTTAACCCTGGCCCATTCCGCCGTGCCCTTTAGCCCAAGGCTCTCTACTCCCCTCTCCCACCCTCCGGCACCTCATCC